AAACTGACTGGTTGGTTGTCTAAAGGTGCTGCTGTCTACTGCATGACAGTCAGCTACCCAGTGCCATGAAAGTGTGTGTGTTGTGTGCCTTCAAGTTATTTCCAACTTATGGTGAGCCTAAGACAAACCGATCATGGGGGTTTCTGGCTAGATTTGTTCTGAGGGTTTTGCCATTGCCACTCTCTGACACTGAGAGAGTGTGAATTGCCCAAGATCACCCAGTGGGTTTCATAGCCAAGTTGGGGATTGAATCCTGGTCTTAAGAATCATAGTCCAAACCTCAAACCACTATCCCATGCTGGCTACTCGCAAGGAAGGTGCAGCAGTGTAATTGATCAACATTTTCAGACAGAGTGGTCTTCTCCCCTTTTCTGGAACCCATACATTTTTACTGTAATTTTACAGAGTAGAACGCTATAATAGCAATCCAGGAGGCTTATTTATTATTTCATTGTTGCCATTTGTTTATACCTGTCTCGTCTTTTTTAGGTTGCAGGAGCAGGCACATGATAATGTGGTTACCAAGTCTCCCCACCATCTACATCAGATGGAATTTTGCATACTTGAATCTTCTTCCAACTCCAGGAAACTTCCATATAAGTTGCTTGTGAGACATATCTTTGGATACTGCTGCTTATTCACTAACATTTACCACTCAGTGATATATGTGTGTGTGTGTGTGTGTGTGTATCAGTAGGATGTTCGTTAACTTTAAACATTGGATATAGTGCAGGATTTCCTTGTGAGCAGATATGTTTAAGATTGTGCTACAAGGGTGATATTGAGACCTTGATTCACACATATCGAATGTGACTGATTCATGCAATGGCATAAATGAAGTAAGCTAACTTTAAGAAGTATAGCTATTAGCCAGTTGTGCTGTTTTAATTATAATGATTTTGTAGATTCTAATACCAGTTTATTAAAGAAGTAGAAAAGATCCTAAAATACAAAGATATACAAATGAGCACAAAGTTTAGAATCATACAAGCCATTGTGTTCCCTATTACCACGTATGGATGTGAGAGCTGGAGTTAAGAAAGATAGGGAAAAAATCAATGCATTTGAGATGTGATGCTGGAGAAGAGTGCTGAGAATTCCATGGACAGCCAAAAAGACAAACAAATAGTCCTAGAGCAGATCAACCCAGAAATCTCTCTGGAAGCCAAGATGACAAAAGTGAGACTGTTGTACTTTGGACACATCATGAGACAGCACAACTAATTGGAAAAAACAATATACTAGGAAAGTGGAGGGATGTAGAAAGAGAGGAACGCCACATGCTAGATGCTATTAAGGAGGTCACAGGTATGAGTTTATAGGAACTAAGCAGAATGGTGGAGGACAGGGAATCTTGGAGATGTTGCATTCACAGGGTTGCTGTGGGTTGAGATTGACTCAAGGGAAGTTAACAACAACAAAAATGGATATTTAGAAAATGCTTTTGTTTGTAAGTCCTCAAGGTAAATTAAGAAAGCTAATTTTAAGAAGCATATCTGCTATCTGCCAGCTATTGCCCATTGTCTTAGATCAGGGGTAGGCAACCTTTTGGCGACCTGGGCGGTCCCCTAAAGCCCAGGTCTCCGCTAGGCCGAGGGGGGGGGGGATTGGCGGCGCGTGTGCTAATGCACGTGTGCGCGCCCTCCGCCACTGCGCGTGACCCTCCGTCACACGCCACCGCATCATGCGCGGCCACAGCTGCCGCGGCGCATGTTGCGGCTGCCATTTTGATTTCCAAAATGGTGGCCGTGACTCGTTTGTGCATGCGCAGTACTCCTGCGCATGCGCAAATGCACCGTGGCCACCATTTTGATTTTCGTGTGGTGCATGGCCACACGGAAGAGAAAACGCTGTGGTGGCGGCGGCAGGGATTGGCCTGGGCCGGTAAGTCCAGCGACTTGGGCCTTAACCAGCCCGGAGGCCGTAGGTTGCCGGTCCCTGTCTTAGATTGAAGGATCCCCTAGTCCTCAAAAGCCATTTTCCAGGCAGTTGTGGAAGAAAACTCCCCCTTCTTCCAGTGGAAGTATCCTATGAATGGAATCCTATGCATATCTGTTCATGAAAACCCTGGATTCAACTTTGAAATTTTATTTTGAATACCATTGTTTTCATCTAAGCTATGTAACACCATGTTTGTATATGTGCTTCTAGATCACCAAGGGACCATAGAAAATAATTTGATCTTTGGAATATGGATTTTGTGGATGTGCCTGGAGAAGCCATATTTTCTTCCTACTCTATGTCCAATGGGAGACCAGAACCAGATTGATTGCATTGGCTAAGTCCTGGTATAAGTCAAGACAGAAGCTAGTTACCACTTCATAAGAATTACACCAAATGGGTATGTCCATGTAGAGATTTCAGACAAGGAGAGTTGCTCAAATTTGAATGTCTAGAAAGGAGAAAAGAGACCAGAATGTCTTTGCCAATTGTTAAGATTATTTTTCCAGCTCAGGGTGAAACTACAAGTCAATGAAGAAAAACTGATTCTCACTCTTTATGTTTGGAGGTGGTGCTGACTTAGATGGGTCTACTTTGTTAACCGCTCTATCAGACCATCCTTCTTTTGCTCATGAATGCCCTTGATACAGTTACACTAAACATCTGGAACTGTGGTTTCTGGTAGTTTTGAGTTAAGATTTGAATTTGATCATTTAAGTGTTTATGGCATTTATTAGGATTAAAATGTATTTGTTAACCCCTGAATTATTGCTATGAAAAAGTATTTTGGGAAATAACTTAAGATGTCTACTTATAATTTGCAATAGAGAGGAGATGTTTCCAGGGTGCATATTTTTCTTCTGTTCTTTGAGCTATGTTGTGGGGCAGGGGCAAGCGGACTTAAA